TGAGCTTCCTCCCCCGCGTCGAGGCCCCGTCTCAGAGGGCAAAGCTCATTTCCCCAGTCGCGCTGTAAAAAAACATGAAATGACACGTCACCGCAGCCGGGCTGCGTGCTCCGAGCAGACACGCACTCAGCCGGCTGCCGGCTGCCGGCGCACGGGCGCCGGCTCCTCCTCCTCCCGCTCTCCCTCTCCTCCTCCGCGGCCTCCCTCCTCCCGCTCCTCCCTCCCTCCCCCTTTCAGAACACTCAATGTCGGAACGTTCCGAAGATGACGTCGGAGCGTTCTCGAATCCCGTGTCTCTCGGCTGCTGCTGCCGAAGGAACAGGGAAAAAGCAACAAGAAGGAAGAGCAATGGCGACACTGGATCGCAAAGTGCCCAGTCCGGAGGCGTTTCTGGGCAAACCCTGGTCCTCCTGGATCGACGCCGCCAAATTACACTGCTCCGACAGTAAGAACCCCACCGCCTCCTCCTCCTTTTATTATCCTGTAACCTTTCCATTCACCTAGAGCCACTGGGAAAAAGTGTGTGTGAGAGAGAGAGTGGCCCCCGGTGTCCTCCATGCTTCTCCCTCTCTCTCTCTAAATAAATACACACCGAGACAGATCATCAATGCACAGAGAGAGGCCCTGCTGCCAGGGTTGTCTGTCTGTCTGTCTGTCTGTGCCCGGCTCCCCGTGGCAGCCCGCGGGGTGGGCTTTCACAGCCCCGCGGTGTATCTGCTTAAAAGGCTACTCTGTTGCTGCTTGCATAGTTTTTTGGGTACCTATCTGGGCCAGGTAGATGGAAATCCGGACTTGGGAGAAAATGTTGCATTGTCAAATTTTGAAAGATTTTCATATACAGTATTTATATCGATCTGTTTGCAAATAAACACTCTCCCTCCCCCCTTGACTTTGGCTTTCCCCCCCCTTTTTTTTTCTCTTTTTTTTCCTTATTTTCTTTTTTCCTTTTCTTTTTCATCTGCAGATGTAGATTTAGAAGAGGCTGGAAAAGAGGGTGGAAAAAGCAGGGAGGTTATGAGGCTTAATAAAGAAGGTAAGTGGAGCTACTGGCATTTTAGTGTTAGCATGTGTGGCAGAATCTTCACAGGGTTTTCGGATATAATGTGAATTGTTCTGCTGGGTACAGAGTGACTAAGGCTTGTCAAAAATTGAGCACGCCCAGGTGACTACTGCTTCATGTTAACTTCTTTCAAAGTATAAATACAACTGGGGGGCCAAGAGGGGGGAGACTATTGAAGGCAGAAGTTTACTGCACTTCAGCTGGAGCCCACAGTTGAATCTTCTGATGCATATATCTGCCATTCTCCTTTGGACCAGCATTCCCAAATGGTGGGTGGCCCTAATCTCTGAAATGAGGAGTGGGTTCTTTTCACAAGCATCCCAACCTTCCTTGTGGGTACATGCACAACAGTTTAATGAACCCCCACATGGTCAATCATTCCAGCATCTACTTCTTCGCTCTTCAGTAGAAACCATTGTACATGGCAAACCTTTGCTGCAAGTTACGTTTGGTCATAGATTGTTGTGTGGCAAGCAGGGTTAGGGACATCTGCGTGTGAAGCCCCTAGCTGGTTACCTGTCTCTGTCTCCCCAGCATGGAAATATAGTACCTGAAAGGGGACACAGTGAGTAGATAAGTCATCCCAAACCAAAGCAGGCAAGTGAAGCCACAACATGCTGGAAGTGGGCATCAACCACCACAATCATCATAAATAAATCATGTTCTGTTCGAGTTTGCCAGCCTGCCATATGTAACTCTGGCCTATGGACTTCAAGCAGAGCCACTCCAGAGGCCACTTTCTACTGAACAAATGGATGGGTTCATTTGAATTGTGATTTACTAACTGATATCTTACAGACATGGTTGACTGAAATTGGGGGTGGGAGGAAGATGCAGGGGGGCAGAACGTTTGGTGGAAGGGCAAAGAGTTCAACGAGGCCAAAGGCCAAAGGCCATTGTTCATCCAAAAGGAATAGCAAAAAAAGCTGCTCTTAGTCTCCAAAGAATGGTCGCCCTCAGAAAGGGGGAAGTTACCCTGTAAGGCAGCTAGGACCTGCATGGAAAGATGGAACTCATTTGGCAGATCAACACCTCACACAGTCTGTATTCTTTACCCAATTATTTCCTGACCAGCCAATGAAAGGAAATTTTGTGCTTTAGAAAAAACTAACATGGAAGTTAAAATGCATGCATATTCAAGGACAGCTCTCTGTTTCTGCTAATTAAGCACTTTGATTGGGAACAAAACCTTGTTCTAAAGATGTTTGCCTCTAAATATTTTAGTATAATCTTGACTTATGTCTTTAGGATGCACAAGGAAAGGAGTGATGTCAAGTGGACGTCTTACAAGTAGCAGCTTATTAGTACTAAATGTCCATGTGTGATGGCAATGGAGAGTATCTCTATAGATTGCTTTTCTTCGCAAACTCTTGAGATCTTTAAACACTAATAGTACTTGGTTATCAGACCACTGGACACTAAAAGGTTTCCACAAAAGAAAATGAGTTTGTGTACACCTTTAAATTAAGATTGAGGTAAGGTCAAGGTATATGGCACAGAATTTGTACCTGTAAGGTCTGGGTCACAGATTATAGCGACAACACACACAAAACTCATATATTCTGCACCCTCCTCCCTGCTTCTGTTTCAAAAGACTGGGGCCCAGAGTGTCTTGGCCTTAGGATAAATAGATTCTTTTAAGGAAAACAGGAAAGGTCTTCTTTTCTCAGAAGTCACAACTGGTGTATCTTGTTTATTATGTCCTTTGCCCTATAAAGCTAAAAATATTTAGCTCCAAATTATGTGCATTTGCATTAAGGACACCCACTGTTCATGTAACACACCTGCTGAGTTTGCCAAAATAGCCATGTATGGGCTGAAACTCTTGTTTGTGGACCTAGTGGAACAGACTTGGGTTGACAGTTCCTGAAGATCTTCCTGGTATGGGCACATTTTCTTTACAGATAAAGTGTACATACACTATACACTTTATACTCCACCAATACTACCACTGGTGAGAAATTTAAGGTTCTAGCTGAGACTCCAGGTCAGGGTGTCTGGTTGCCAGGAATTCCAATGTTTTGGTTGCTCTAGTCTTACCATGGGCCTTGTTAGTGGACTCACTTGGAAGTTCTTGAGATGGATACATTTTTGCAGGTGGCTCTGCAGGACATACAAAGTCTTAAGTGTGTCTCTGTGTGGACATTTGTGTGAACAACATAGGCCATGATGTTTTTGGCAATATCAGCAGGTCTTAAGAAGAAATTTTGTCTTTAATAATAATGAGTGAATGAAACAAAGTTTAGTAATTCCAGTTGAGAAATGAAGGGCTATGATTCAGATTTTGATACAATATTTTTAATTGTGATAACATAAACACTACATAAACTTATCATTTTAACCATTTTAAAGCATACAATTCAGTGGTACCAAGTACATTCACAATGCTGTAAAACCTTCACTACTATCCATTTCCTGAGCTTCTTCATCATCCCAAGCGGAAACTCATATATACACCTTCTACAATTGCTCTTCACTCACATCCCCTCCTCTGTCAGCCCTGGTAACCTCTATTCTATTTTCTGTCTCTATGAAGTCAGCTATTCTAGATAATAGCAACATATTGTACAATATTTGTGACTTTGTGTCTTTCACTTAGCATAATGTTTTCATGATTCATCCATATTGTAGCATGTATCAGGATTTCATTCCTTTTTATGGCTAAATAATATTCCATTATATGTACATAACATTTTGGTTATCCATCCATTTGTTGATGGAGATTTGACTTGTTTCCACCTTTAGCCTATCATGAATAATGGTGCTATGAACATGCTGTGATTTATTTTTTATGGACTACATTTAGGGAGGAAAGTTAAACTAGAAATAAGAAAGAAAACCATTTTACCTTCCCTCTGGCCTCAGCTTTGGAGACACAGGAAGGACCTACAGACCTTTTGAATAATTTGATGATTGCTATAGAGTTCCGTCACCATTCCTCATTCCTTTAACCTTTTTCTCTCCTATTCTCTACCTGTATCAGTATAAATTGTTAATTGAATGCTTTGAAATCTGTAATAAACTTTTCAATATCATTTCATCCAAAGTTAGCTACAATTATGGTTAAGAAGGATTTAGCAAATACTTCGAACCTCGTCAAATCATCACCAGGGTTCGGAAGTTGTTGCTTAGTCCTGTGCTTGAGTGTACTCAAGTAAGGTTATGTCCAGCAGGTTGGTGCAATGAAAGGAGCAAGAGAGAGAGTTTTGGGTAAGCCTGAGTTCTGTTATATGACCTTGGGAATATCATTTCCCTTCTCTGGACCCGTTCTCTCACTTGTAAAGTAAGGGGATGGGATTAAGTGTGACCTAAGCTTGTCTATTGAATATACCTACATTTGAAATGCAGTCATACCAGATTGGCTTTTTTAAAAGATACTTAAAAAAGAGAGAATCAAGCCGGCATATTAAACATCTGAAACCACTATATACAAGGTTTACATTCTTATTTTATAGCTTTACCATATCTGATATACAAGCACAATAGTTTGTGTTACAAATAGTTTGTGAGTGGTATGAGGTTTGTAAGACTCTGAACAAACTGGGAATCTGAGTCCAAAACCCAGAGTGATGCATTTCCCACAGTGCAGGCTGAGTTAACCTCAGTCAGCTTGGAGCAATCAGGCACAAGATTACTCAAGAGGAGGTAGGGGTGGGGTTGGTTTCTCAGAAACCTTTTTAGTTTAGTCTGAGATATAAAATGCATTTATGATAGAAAATTCCAAGGAAGGCCATACATCTAACTGACTTTTTAAAATAATTTGCTTTGTAGTTTAACTGAAGACTTTTGCAAGATATTTGGGGAAAAGCTCCTTGAATCAGAAAGACTTCCCTTTTTCTCATTGCCCCCTCAACTCTTTTCAGAAGTCAATTCACAAATAAGAAGCTGAGTTTATGTAATTCAAAAGTATCCTTCACTATATAAAAATGGAGATAACAGGTTTGTTGGTAAAATAATACAAAAGGGCTTAACACATGCTTAATAAAGTTTTGCCTTTGTTATTTCATTTAAAAAATTATGATTATCATCATACTCATATTAAGCTGCTTATAGAAAACATTATGACTGACCCAAGATTTTAAATTAGTCATTGAGGAACAGAAAAAATAAAGTATTAGAAATTTCATTTTTAGAGTAATTAATTTTGCCATAACTTTATATTAATAATGGTTTTCAAAAACAATTTCTATGATATCTGTGTTTCTGATGGAGTACAGTTAATGTATGCACATTGGTAAGTTTTATTAAGACCTGGAAAAAAATACTTAGGTTGTTTCAGGCCTATAACTAAGAAGGGTTTACATGTTCTTTCAGGGGACCAGAAGGTCTAAAAACTAATTTTAAAAATAATTGATAAGTGGTTTTATCTGATTACTAAAAAAAATAAAGAAGGTCCCGAGTCAATCCTTGTTTGGGTCTTCTGGAAGCCTGCACTAGTTCTTCAGGCATGTGTCTGTGTTTCAGTTCTCTGCTGTTTTCATATGATGTAGGCAAATTTGTGGAATGCTTCCAACTTGAAAACTGTCTGGGACCAGTAAGATCTTGCTGTAACTACAGGGGGTTGCCATTTTCCTGAGAGGTGCTGGTAGAACTGAGGTGCTGGTAGAAACAGGGAAGGGAACAGGAAACATGGGAACATGTTCAGCTCAGGTTTAGGAATTCCACGTTATGGTTATGCGAGCAACTTGGAGAAAAAGATGGCAGCTGACATAACAAGAATGAAGTGTTCCTAGAAACCAAGCCAGGAACACCAGCGACAAGTGGTGGAGATTTATGGGAAGCTGCGGACGGCTTCCCTTTATCATTATACAGACAACTCTGTTATCTGTGTTAATAGGAGATGTGAAGACACCAAGTGCACAGATTACACAGATAAACTTCATTTTCACCATTAATTTCAACTTCTTTCTCCATTAGGCCTATCTTCGTCCCCTTTGCTAACAAGAGACAACAATTGTTCACTTTGGCATTTC